GACACAGCCGAAGCTCGCTCCTCGACAGGCTCGCTGGTGGCGTGACCTATCCGAGTTTAGTTTCACCACTGAGCACATAAAGGGTGAGACCAATCGGGTCGCAGATGCCTTATCCCGACGCCCTGACCATAATCTGGAGCAGATCCATCTCGCTGCCATTTCGGTCACCACCATCAACCACTCGGTGACCGAGGAGTTTCGCACTCAGTACCGCCACTGCCCCGACTATCGTGACATCCATGCGACCCTTCGGAGTGGTAAGACCATCCCGAACTACTCTCTCGGGGACAACGGTCTTGTGTATTGGCACGGTTCACAGGGCACGAGAGAGGCCCGTATTTGTGTTTCCTCCACTGGACAACTACATGTCCGGGGAGTAGCAGAGTTCCATGACCAGGCAGCCGCCGGTCATATGGGCTTCCTCAAGACGTTGGCTCATGTGAGCCACCCGTAAGTCTGGCCGAGGCGCAAGAACTTTGTGAAGGACTACGTCACAGAGTGTCCCACCTGTCAGGAGGTGAACAGTGCGAACCACCTGCCTTATGGTTTGCTCCAGCCTCTTCCTATCCCTGAGGGTCGTTGGCAGTCCATCTCGATGGACTTTATCGGTCTTCTTCGTCCCTCGACCCCCCGCGGTCATGATGCTATCCAGGTCGTCGTCGACCACTTCACGAAGCGTGCACGCTTTGTTCCGTGCCGCTGTGCCATCAATGCACGTGAGATCGCCAACATCGTGTTTGACCGAGTCGTGTGTGACCACGACTCACCTCTGAGCATCATATCTGACTGTGACCCGCGCTTTACCAGCCGATTCTGGCGACGGGTCCACGAGGTGTACGACACCCAGCTCCGCTTCTCCTCATATTACCATCCCCAGACTGATGGTCAGACCAAGGTCACGAACAGGTTTCTCGGAGATATTCTCCGAAAGATTGTTTGTGACGACTAGTAGTGGGATCTCCATCTTGCCCATGTTGTCTCGCCAACCACGGGGATGTTACCTTACTATTGCGACCTCGGCTACCCTCATGTTCCCGCGGACTTCCTTCGACCGTCATAGCTGCACCCCGACACGAGTTGTCCCGCGCTGGATGATTGGGTTGCACACATGACGTCGATCATGAAGACCGCGCATGAGCATATAGCCGCTTCCCAGACTCGCATGGCCACACGTGCGAACCGATCGAGGATGGGTCATCCATTCAAAGTCGGTGACGATGTGCTTATCGACGCCCATCACTTACAGCTTGAAGCGGACGCGCTTCACAATTTTCGGTGTCGCTACTTTGGCCCATGCCACATTCTCCAAGCAGAGGTCACTGCCTCTAACATTTCTAGGATTTAGTTGTTTCTGCTTTTGTTGTTCTTAGGACTTATACACTAGTTAGTTTTTTTCCGGACTGAGGCTACTGCCTCCAACATTATAGGATTAGTTGTCATAACTTTCTGCTTTCCTAGGACATGTATACTAGTTAGTTGCTTTTTGCTTTCACTTAGGCTGTTAACTGTGACCTTGTTGTTTTTGTGACATTTTCTATCCTAGGTTGCATCGCATGGACTCAGTATGGAGCTTGCTTCGCATCCTAGACTACTTGGGTTTTCTTTGTCATTGGTTAAGTTCCGCTTATTGGCGGAAGCGTGCTTGTATCTAGGTGCAGGCCGAGGATCGTGTAGCGGACCTCTGGTTGGCCTATTCTCACAGGCCTGTGTCGTATTCGGGGTAGTCCAGTCCAAGCCGGTACCTCTGTCATTACCAACCAGTCCAGTCCAGTCCAGTCAGTCCGCTGGGGTATACCCTAGCCAGAGTCTGTACTTTGGGTCATGATACATTCGCACAATTTGGAGTACATTCGTTGGAGTCCGCGTGGGAGCTGCGTTGTGCCATCTTACTGCACTCTCATCCTTCATCTCCGTCTCCATCCCAAGCAGAGCACCCCACCCGGTGGGCCCACCATAGGTGAGTTGTTGTCGTCGTACCGTTGTGTGCGAAACTCGTGGGCCACCTTGGTAACATATACAAGGATGTCCTCCGCCGCAACTTCGTCACCCGTTGACGAAGTTGGTGGTGCATAGACGAATAAGTATGTGTGGAGATGAACGCATAGTGCTGCACATTGCAGTCCCGACAAGCGGCCTGTGGTAGGGAGAGGAAGTCATGTGAAATCCTCGGACGTCAACGGGTCCAAGACTTCTATGTTGAACTCGCGCGCTGAATCCCGTGAAGAACCACTTGAAGACGATAAACTGTCGCCTCTTCCGGACGAAAAAGAAACCACGCACACATCTTGTCCTTGAGCATAAGTGCCCAACGAAGGAACGATTCGGGCAGCATAGTCCTCGTAAGAATAAAGGGGCGGATTTTTGACTTCCTCATGTGCCTCTGAACTAAGGGAGGTTGCTCGTGCAACAACCAGTTCCAAAGGCGCCGAGACTGTTGCCGCATCACTCTGGGCGGTGCTCACTTTCCCAACTGGGTTTTCCCCTTGGCATTTGTGGGACAGGCGACTGTCTCATGGAGGTTGTGTTGCACCACAAACAATATCGGAATCTCGTGCGTATCTTGTATACGCTTTCCGATAGATCGTAGTGGTTACAAGGTGCTTGAGCAGCTGCGCCGGGCCCAAGGTTTAAAGAGGTGTTAGTCTTCAATTTGTCGCGTCCTCGGCCTTTGGCGAGGCGGCCACCATCCCGGGCGGCTGCGAATCTGTCTCCCTCGGGCCTCGGCAGAAGAAGCAGCCTCGCTTGAAGGGTCGGTCGGTGTTGCTGTCGCGACCACGACAACTTTCGACCGATGTTGATCTCTGCTCGGGCCCACAGAAGGCGAACGACCAAGTTTCTTGGCTTTTGTGTTCGTCACAATGATTTGTGCGGCCTTGTCGAAGAGCTCCGCACTTGTGGTGAGGGTCTCGGCGACTTGCGTCAAAGCATTTGACAATGTCGAACACGACTCGTAATGAAGTAGTGTTTGATGCCTTTGAAGACCATACGCAAATCCGGCATGGATGCGAAGCGTTGGTACTCGACCATCCAATCTCCACTTAGCAAAGTCTTCTGATGGAACCGTGGTAACCGTCCGGACGTCCGGACCGGGTTCCACACAGTCCGGAACAACATGTCTGATGTCCGGTCTCCGATCCTTATGTCTGGATGGAGGCCCCCAGGGTAAAAATCAGAAAAAAAAAGGGGCGGCCCAGGAAGTTTTCTAGGTCCTGGCCGCCCATCGAAAAATAACGGTGTGACTTTTCAGTGTCGTTTCACCCCACCGGACAGGGCCTACAGATCCAGACACAAGACACTGCAGGTTTTTCGGGTGGCGGGTTTCAGATAGGCCTGAGCAATTTCCAAGCACCCGTTTCGACGTGCCGCCCCCTGCTGCTGTTGGAGAGAGAGAGAGAGAGAGAGAGAGAGAGAGAGAGAGAGAGAGAGAGAGAGAGAGAACTGACAAAGTTGCCAGTCTAAAGACTCTGAAATTCTGAATTGAACTGCAAAGTTCGAACTTTTAAGTTATATATGAAGTTATGAACTTAAATTACTAAATCTAAAGTTCGAAGTTCAAAGTTAATCATACTTTTTTCAAAAAACAATTATCTGTTTTTTTAGTCTTGTGCCTCCTTTGCACAGTTTGCAAGTCTACATATCTGGTAGTTGAATATGCTTGTTGATTTGCTGCAAGACGGGTGCTCTATTGGTTGAACTACAAAGTGCAAAGCAGGTAAGTGCCTGCCAACACCCGCACCCGACCCCCCACCCCCCCGTTTTTTTTTTTTTTTTTTTTTTTTTTTTTTAATGGGAACAAAGCTCCAATCTATTCGTGGGGAGCAACACGTGCTGGGAACCCGCATTATAACAAACTAGGGGAAACAATGTGGGAGTCACAAAAATGATTTATAATTCATTTTTTTTTTTGCAATTTTTATTTATTTATTTATTTTCTCTCTTCGTTCCCCCCCCTTTTTTTTTTTTTTTTTTTTTTTTTTTTTTTTTGGGTTTGGGTCCGGACATTTTGTACCAGTCCGGACTGTCCGGGTCCGGTGATGTCCGGGTGTCCGATGATGTTCAGATCACCGGACAGTCCAGACTGTTTGAGACACTAGTCCAGAAGGCAGTCTGGAAGTGTTCGGTGTCCAGGTCCGCGGTTACCATGGATGAACTTCTGCAATTTGTCCATTGCCTGAAGTTCAGGCGGCTCCACTTGGAACCGCTTGTGCCATGCTGCCTTCAGATCAGCCCAGCTGATCTTTGTATGCAGTTCGGAGACTGTTACCCCGTGTGTGGGCAGCATATTGTCCACGCGTCCCTCGATCGGAAGTATAAATACGTGCACCTGCTGGCGTCGCGGGTCTTGTGGATCTCCAGCTTGAGTTCAAACTGGCGAAACCGAGGATGGGTTCCGTCTTCGTTGCGCCACAGAAGATCGGCTGACCATCCAATTTCGGGATGCTCTTGTGTGGTGACGTGGTAGGACCGGCAGCTGCAGCGCAAATCTGCTGCTCAAGTTGTTGAGTTGCTGCTTGCTGTAGTTGCATACTGGTCTTGAGAGTCCTTACGTCAATCTCCAAAACGTCGAGGCGATCAGCATAGTTGGAGGAGCCGGCGCCTGGAGCCGCGATTGGTAGTTGTTCCAGCAGTTGTATGTGGCTGGTCAACTGTGCGACTGACTTCTTGTGGTCATTGACCATGTCGTCGAGGTAGTGGATATCCTCCTGCTGCGCAATGCACGTGGCCAGGAGGTCTATGAAGCGGGAGAGCAACGACGAGATCTTGAGTCTGTTGTTGATGACTTCGCCGTTTTCAGCCTCCGTCTCCATTCCGCGGCCAGCTTGAGTAGATCTCTCTCCTCCTTGAATATATTCTCGCGTCGCTGTCGCGTTTCTCATTGGCAGCCTTTGCTGCTCCTTCGCCGTGCTTCCGACGTTGTTCATCCGCAAGCTGACATTTTTTCTCTGCCGCCTCCTCCTTTTTCATATTTGCGGATGTTGTCGTGTCTGCGCTTTGCTTGGCTTCGGCCATTATGTTCAGCATCCAGGTCGTGCAGGCCTCGACTGTTTCCCCTGCCATCTGCTTCATGGCATGGGCTGCGGGACTGCTGATGTGACACTGAACTGTTGCTGGAGTGGCAAGGCTGTCGGCTGACGTGTCACTGCTAACGTGGCCTGCTGACGTGGCAACTTACCAATGCCGCAGCAGGGAGAACCAGAAGACAGACGGAGACGAGTAGAAGGGGGATGCAACAGCATAGATGGGGTGGGTGGGAGTAATCGCCAGATAAGGAGCCACTAATCAAAAATGAAAAGTGCGAACTTTGCACAAGTAATAATAATTTCCAGAAAATAATTAAAAATGTCGAAATTGAAAACTCGGTAGGCCTCTCGATCCCCACAATCCCAAAATTGAAATATGCAAGGAAAATGAGCGATAACGTACTTCAGAAACAAAGCAGCATCATACACATGAGACCAGATAGTCGTGACCTCGAACCAAAAACAGAATTGCAACACGAGTCCCACCAAATAAGAGCACTGCAAAAGCTCGTAAGTGACAATATTGGAATAGTCTCATCATCATCAACAAAACACCAATGTTGACATCGTATCTGGCGCTCTGCGCCTAGACTGCAAATGGCAGATCCTATCTAGCCTATCTATAATGCCGCTGGTGACGTCAACAGCTCCCCAAAGTACGAGCAGATCTCAGCCAATGCCGTTCGCGTTGTCGGCACCGGTGGGTCCCGAATAACTTCCCATCACTCGAGAGACTGAATATAGACAAATTGTGCACGACAGAGAAATCTGAAGTAAGGAGGAAAGAGAGAGAAAAGACGAAGGATTAGGCCACAGAAGGGAGTGATGCCCTGGGGTGAGAACCACAGGAGGAGAAAACCAGCGACGGCAAGAGAGTAAGCGCAAGAATAGGGGCACATAGAACATAGCATGAGGGCGGGAGGGCTGTTGGGATTCAACAAGACTAAGGCCAAAGGACCCTTGAACCAGCAAACGCGGCACGGATGTGTCAAAGAATGAGGAAGTCGAGAGACGGACGGCCCGGGGGCCGTGGGAAGTTAGAGAATGAGGGGCCAACATGGGGGCCACCTACGGGAGCCTCGGGGTGGAGGCCCGCGACCAAAGGAACCGGCGCGCGCAAGGCGCGAGAAAAGACAAGGGAGAGGGGTCACCGTGGGGCGGAAAAACGCCCAAGGAACGTGGGACACCTTGGGGAAAGGCACCCGGGGCCACATGGGACTAAGCAAAAATAATGGCATCCGGGGCAAAATGTGTCGAGGACCACCGGCGGGACAAAGTGTCGGGGACCGACGGCGGGACCAAGTGTCGGCGGGACCAAGTGTCGGGGACCACCGGCGGGACCAAGTGTCGGGGACCACCGGCGGGACAAAGTGTCGGGGACCACCGGCGGGACAAAGTGTCGGGGACCACCGGCGGGACCAAGTGTCGGGGACCATCGACGGGAAATTGGCGGGGACATATGAAGGCCTCAAAAGGAAACGGCGGCACCACATATGGGAAAAATAATTAAGGTAAGGTGCACCGTCAAGATCAAGATCTTGACGACCAAAAATATTATCACCGCTAGTGCAAGCACTAGCGGAAGCTAACGGGAAGGCCAAAAGAAAAAGAAAAAGCAAAGAAACATGGAGTGGGAGGCATGGGAGCAATCTGAAAAATCTCGGATCAGCCTCCCTCAAGAAAATGGAGTCAAAAGAGACCCCACGAGAAAAATAGGTCTCCGAGAGAAAATCGGAGTAGGAGGGGTCATTGTGGGAGAAAATTTGAGGTAAAAGGAAGTTCCCATGGACATGGGAAGGCCGTTACTGCAGTCCGAGATATAACGGATTGCACCTTGGGCATAGGAAGCGCCAAAACTAAAAGGAGGGGCCTAGAAAATGGCCTTAACGGCCACTTGACACTTTGCATGCTAGAAATAGAAAGAAAAGAAAAGAAAAATGTGGGAGAATAAGGCGAAAGGAGTGAGAGGGAGTGAGTGAGTTGGCCGTCAGTAGGGAATGCCACAAGTAGGGCCTGGCAGGTTCCTACTATCCAAGAAAGGAAGAAAAAAAAAAGAAAAAAAAAGAGAAAAGAAAAAAAAAGAGAAAAATGCCTTAACGGTAAGAAACGGTCACTTTGGGAGATACATCCGTGACCAGATTCATTCTGGAATATGGCAGTTATAATGGATTTTGATTTTCTTTGATTTTTGCAGAGAAAATCGAAGAAAATCAAGGCCCCATGCAACCGAAATAAAACGTATTGCATGGGGGAGGGGAAACACATGTTTTAAGTGCATCCGAAACTAATATTGAGCTCGAATGCACTTAGAAATCAAACGCTTCATTTTCTTCTAGCATGGGGTAAGTTGTGGGGCTGTGGAACTAGGAAAATGACCATGACTGCAGTCCAAGAAATAACGGACTGCATGAGGATGCCTAGGCTAAAGGAAAATGAGCCACGGCAAGCCCGAAAGGCTAGGAAGAAGCAATTTCGACATAAGGCAAGTGGAGACGGTAAACGGCAATTGTGAGATGAGATCTCACGGTCTAGAAAAAGCGGCATACTTCTGGGACCTAAGGGAAAGACGTTGGGACCACCAAGGGCAAGGAGGCACCAAGAATAAAAATGGGACACTGTCCGGGATGTTGCCGGGGACCAAGAGGGCCCAAATAATAAAAGTCGAAAAACGGGACACGCACCGGCGGGACTACCGGCGGGACGAGAAAATGGAACTAGTATGGAGAAAAGTGGCGGGGACTTTGGATGTCCCAAGGGAACCATGAGCCAACGCAAGAAATAATGGCGCAAGCGAACGACACCGTCGAGATCAAGGAGCTAGACAGTGAAAAATATTAGCACCACTAGTGGAAGCACTAGTAGGGGCAAGTGGGAGAGTCATGAGAGAAAAGAGAAGGAAATAATAGTGTTGGGAGGGCTGCCCAGCAGTCCGAGATATCTCGGACTAGCTAGGCCTAAGAAAATAGAGCCTCAAGAGGCTCAACGTGAGAAAAAGGTTATCCTTGGAAAATTGGAGCAAAAGGGGCTAAAAATTGGACAAACGGAGACAAAATTGAGCCCCCTAGGAGTATGGGGGTGCCATTGTTGAAGTCCGAGATATAACGGCCAAGTGCCAGCCATGAATCTGGCCATGAATGAGGCTTCAAGGCCTAGAAAGAGAGTGCACAGCTATTGGACACTTGTCACAACAAAAATAAAAGAAAAAGAAAGAAAAAGGAGAGAAAATAGAGGGAGAATGAGACAAAAAGGGAGAAAAGAGTGGAGGAGAGTGTGCCGACCTATTGGGACCTGCACAGTAGGGACTGGCAGGTCCCAACTGTAAGCTCATCCCTTCTAGAATGAGGGAGGGCAATCCAGATTGTAGTGATATGGCCCTTGGGGCCATATCTCAATAAAATCTGAATTAAAAAGAAGAAAATGCGAGAAAATGTAAAAGAGAAATGACCGGTTTTCTTTTGGGCCATGAATCTGAGATCAGATCTCATGGTGGAGAAGAACTAGCCGTTTTTTTGTGGGCCAGCTCAAAACGGCTAGCTCCGGAATGAGGTGGCAACCCAAAATGGAAAGAAACAAAAGAGGGAAAGAGACAAAACTGTGCATTTAGCCCAAAAAGAGAGCCAGATGCACCAAAAATTGAAAAAGTGGACTTAGGGGCTCAAATTTGAAGCAAGGGCAAAATTAGGGGTGACACAGAATATTGTTGGTCATGGATCTCAGCCAGATCCAAGGCTGAAAATGTGCCGCTACATAGGAAAATATCTCGGCCTACCAAAAATGGGATACAAACTTAAAAAAACGAGAAAAAGGTCCACTAGGTTTTTTTCTCTCAAGTAAAGCTGCCCCTTGGGCATTAGGACCCAAGGGGGCAGCATTTGTGAGGTGAAAAGGGGGCCGAAGGAGGCCAAGAGGCAATCCAAGTTGGTACCAACCACTCGGACTGCATGTACTTGGCCAAAAAGAGGCCCGGGTACCTCCGGAAGGGCCTAGTGGGGGAATTCTGCCTTGGGGGTACCTCGGTTCACCTCAAGGCACATGGGGAGGCCCATGGACCTGCTGGACTGCTGGTTTCAGCCTACATAAGCTAGGAATTCAGCCCGCCACATTCACAATTGCATGAGGAGTGCCCATACTGCCCAAGTGAGCTCATAGAAGCACTCTTTCACTTGGAGAGAGGAGAGGGGAACCCATGCCAGTTTGGGAGCTTGGTGGAGGCCATGAGCTAGGGAAAGGAGCTCTAGAGGCTAGTGGTAGTGAGGCTGGCACTAAGGAGGTGATCCGCCATAGCCCCCAGGGTGTGAGGAAAAGAGAGGGGCTAGAGGGAGTTTCATCAGCCCTCCTAGAGGAGAGGACTCCATAGCTATGGTGATAGGAGTTTGTGGCAACTTGGGAGAGAGTAAGAGAGGAAGGAGAGGGGTTTGAGGAAGGAGGAAGCCATAGCCAATAAGACAGTTATGCAAGAAGGAGGAAGCTTCATCAAGGTTGAGGCTCCATCTCCAAGGCTTCAAGGAGGTGAGTGGAAGGAAGAAGACTCTTCTCCATCTTCTTTTTCTTTTTCTTTTTCTTCTTCTTATTTTTATTTTCTTTCCTTCTTCTTCTTCTTCTTCTTCTTCTTCTTCTTCTTCCTTCTCTTCACTCTTCTCCTTCTTCCGTCCTTCTTCACCTTCTTCTTCTTCTTCTTCTTCTTCTTCTTCTTCTTCTTCTTTTTCTTCCTTCTCTTCACTCTTCTCCTTCTTCCGTCCTTCTTCACCTTCTTCTTCTTCTTCTTCCTCTTCTTCTTCTTCTTCTTCTTCTTTTCCTTCTCCATCCCATTTTCTTCTTCCTCTTTTTCTTCTTCTTCTCCCTTTTCTCTTTTCTATTGGTCTCATGAAGATCTTGCTTTTCACTCACATACCAGTAGGAGATGCTCCGATTCTTCCATGGATAATCTCTTGTTCAAATCTTGTGATATAACCTAGTATAACTCTTGCTTTTTACTCACA